CCGATCCATTTTAAACCGACATGTTTGTTCAATATGTGAAGCATGCTTTTGGCTTGACTCATTCTTGGTGAACTTAGCCAAGTGGAATTTTTTCATTTCACGTAGCTGTGCGGGAACATATTTGGGCAAATATTTGAGCCGTATCCTGTTTGGAAGGTCATAACTCACTGGGTTAGGGTAAGCAGTGCAATATTTTGTATTCAGTGCAGCTGATTGCCCATGTGGTAAAATGGTTACATTGTCCATATTGCCAGCAGCTACATAAGTTGATGAGTGCAAGTACGATACAGGCAGGAGGTAGGATCAGTATATCAACACCCCACTGACAGTGGTTGCATAGCTCGTCTTACTAACCAGCCAGGCGACTCAGCAGTTGAATGAGTGGGTGACAATAAGAAGGCTTTGAATTCAAATATTGGTTGTGGGTTAAAATGACTAACAATTTAAGTGAAAGTCAACAGTGGATGTCCTGTGCATAGGGTCGCCCTCGCCATAATAATTCAGGATTTCCATGACTGGCTCAAGGTTGTAAACAGGAGATAAGCAGAGAGTTAATGCTCATTTGCATAAGTTATTATAATCTTGCAATACAAGTTGTACATTATTTGATCACATAAAAAAAAGTTGCAGGACTTCAATAGCAACGATGCTCATTCACAAAAATCTATTATTGACACCGCTTTATACATATTTTAGAAACAGCCTACTTTAATGCAATAGAAATACAAAACATTTGTGATCCAATAATCAGTGGACCCCTCTAATTCGCAAATTATTGGCAGTTCGCGACTGCTCCCGTAATCCGCGCACAGCGCGGTGGAGTGAAACCGCTTCGTGCACCTCAAACCGCCGTCCGTAGACCTGAGCGAGGCAAACACGGAGCTGCAGGGACAAAACTGCAGGGAAATGGGGAGGTAAAGATTTCCTTGCAATTTTTTTCGGTGATTTGCTTAATGAAATATTTTTTCTTTCCATTTTTTAAAACTTCGATATCGATTTTAAAAATGTCAACAAAAAATCCATAAAAATATAAACATATGGCAGATTTGCGTCATTTGCGTCTTAGAAAAAATCGTAATCTTGTAATCCACATTTATCGTAGATTAATTTAGTCACGCATCACGTGCTTCGTCTGTAATCCACACATTTTTTCTGGATTAATGGAATCTCGCAGCTAATTCCCCCATAATCCGCGGCATGCTGCATCGGCGTAAAACATTTTTTAAGGATCTTATATGTAACCTCCACGGTGCGTCGCGGATTATAGGATACGTCAAATGGTCCTCCGATATCAACACAGATTTCTGCTGTAGGCTGATGTTTTAGTCATTTGCCCTTTTGCAGATCAGCGCTCAATTCCATTATCCTTAAAGTGCTGAACACAGTGCTCTGACAGAGGCATTATCTGATTCCTGACTCGCAGAAACGAGAAGCCTAGTCTTCAAATGGTGGATTGCAACAGAGATGGCTCAGTGCCCTGACGTGTAGGGTATTATGAGTCAACTGAGACAAAACACCAACATCAAAGATCACACCAAGTTTCAAAATACATCACTGGTTTAGGGCATTGTCACAGAAAGTGTTTTTCTCCCAATTATATTCCAACTGTGCCATTTACATTGGGACAAAAACAAGACTGTAGCCATGGAGTCAACATGGGGGGGGGACCAAATCTTCCAGAGTTTCTGGGGGTCCCAACCCAGAAAAATATCTAAATTTTAAAACGAATTTCCTGCCTGAAATATATAAAAAATCACTATTTATTTTTTACAATAATGTCTAATAGTATTACATTGCTCTGTTTTAACTTTTTTACCATTTCTTGTTTCATTGTATGTAATGGCAGAGATTAGGAATTAATAAAGTACAACCATAACCACAATCATATAAACAGAAATCTATGCATTGATTTATATGAAGACAAGTCCAGATATTGTGGCCAAGGTTTAGCAAATTGTTGTTTTTATTTACTTAGCATAGCAAAAATGTTTTATAGAAATATTTTTGGGGGGACATTTTGAGCATATTTGAATATTGTGTCCCCCCCAATATTTATTATAATTACGGCCTTGGACAAAACTATTTATCGTTGGAACACTCCTTGCTATCAGTATATTGTGAGAGAATGGCCTCTGGAAGGTGATGTCACAGTGTTGTCAAGTTGGTGAAGTTGTCGCTAGTCCTTCAATTCCCTCTCGTCGACCGCCAGGTGGTGCAGCTTCTATGGCAACACGCGAGAGTGAATCTGCTGGACTGCGAAATCGTGAACCTGTCTGTGCGTTTTGTACAGTAAAGTATGGTCCAGATGTCTTGTGACCCCCCCCCCCCCCCACCAATTAATTGAACACTATTTATTTACTTATACTGATAGGAACGAAGTGAACCAGCCTACAATAGATTATATCGTCCGTCCGTCCGTGTAGCAACATCGCCCCCTACTGCAAACACTTGGCAGGACCCTACAAAAACCTTTAGACTCAGTGAGGCTTTCCTGGCTAAACAAGTGTAACATTCCCTTATAATTCACTGAGATAGTTTTTAATTAAAACATTTAAATAAAAAATTAACTCACAGCGGCCTAAAGCCTACAGCTAGGCCTAAAGCCGAGAACTAGGCCTCAAACTCTCCCTTCGTATCGTCCGATTAGGTGTAGCAACATCGCCCCCTACTGCAAACACTTGGCAGGACCCTACAAAAACCTTAGACTCAGTGGGGCTTTCCTGGCTAAACAAGTGTAATAATACATTATGTTTATATTCTTTGGTTATTCGTTCCTACCAGCCCACCCCGCAGGGACCTGTTTTCAGATGGCTGATACGGCTTCACATACTTTTGAAGAACGGCTTTTAGTGAGCGAAGGGCTCGTGAATAAAATATTTGTTCAAGTGGACATGTGCAAAGAAAATGCTGGTTCTCATGCAGACTGACTGGCCCCATAACAAGTATACTATAAATATTTACAATCATGATGAGATTAAATAAAGTTATGACGTTATTTTTTTTTATTGCTTACATTGCACAAGACACCCATTGGTTTCAGACATTGAGTTTTAGAGAATTAAATGGGGGTCACAAGACATTTGGGCCACAATGTACAGTACTTTCATATGCTCGGGGTTACTCCGAGTTTAATGTCATGTACAAAATATTCCTTAAACTGAAATTGATCATTCAGATTCAGGGCTATTTTGAAAAAGTGTTTAATATATTTGAGGCGTTGGGCTGAGAGATGACCAGGAGATGGCAGTGAAGTAATGGATTAATTAATTGATATGTGTAGTGCTGTGTTACCCTTCACACACATATTGTGTGACTTGTTTCGAGGTATTCCAGTTTACTTCAACAGACCACTTCATCCACTGAACATCCCAATGCAGGACCCATCTGGGAATAAACAATTATTCTTAGGACTTAGTGTGGCTTTCCTGGGTAAATGTCACTTAAAATGTATTGAACGTCGTTATAAATGATCAGATGGATTTTTTTTTTATTAAGTGAAAAAAAAGCATATTAGTGCATTTTTATGTGCATAAATGTTTTTGTTGTGGCTGAAATCCAGCCGGATGTGAAACCAGGATTTAAACATCACCAACAACAATGAAAAAGAAACCGCATTACAGGTACGAGTCTCCTGTGCAGAATATTCACGAATCGAAGCTTCATCAATAAACATTGGGCCTGTTCAGCGTTGACGCTTCTGGGCATTTGCGATGGGATGATCACACTCGTGAACGTGTGTATGTGGAACTTGTTTGAGCACCGTACGGAGCCAACCGTGCTGAGTCATCAATACAAAAAAATGCCACGTCTGGTGATTTATGTAACGATGGTGGTGGTGGTGGTGGCGGCATGTGAATTAGCCAGTGCCGGATTAAGTTGATGCGGGGCCTGTAGCAAATGTTCTAAAGGGGCCCTAAATTATTAAAAAAACACAAATATTAAAACACACATTTTTTACTTGCGTAGTAAAGTAATTGTATTTTTCTATTTCCTATACAGTCCAGATAATACGACAAATCGCTAACCTTAAACACCCAGTCGTTCATAAAAAAAATTGAAGGCGGTATAGTACTATAGTAATAGAGCTAGTGCAGAATCACCGAACCGGAATTGTTAGCTTGAAAGCATTTAGAGCGGGGCCCTTGAAAATGCGGGACCCGTATCTACTACACATGTGTAGTAGCTACTACACATGTATAGCTGCTACATGTGTAGCTACTTTTGCTACTACATGTGTAGCTACTTTTGCTACTAGGACAATCCGGCACTGGGCTTAGGCAGTGCGATATGCAACATTCGCCTTGCAGCGCACAAACTTCACCGCTTGCGAGCGGCTCAAGAACCCCAAATCAGCAAAGGGGTGGTGGTGGTGTTGGTGGTTGTGTTGGTGGTGCTGATGGTTGGTGGTGTTGGTGGTTGGTGGTGTTGGTGGTTGGTGGTTGTGTTGGTGGTGGTTGGTGGTTGGTGGTTTTGGTGGTTGGTGGTGTTGGTGGTGGTGTTGGTGGTTGTGTTGGTGGTGGTTGGTGGTGTTGGTGGTTGGTGGTGTTGGTGGTTGGTGGTGGTTGGTGGTGTTGGTGGTTGGTGGTGTTGGTGGTGTTGGTGGTTGGTGGTGTTGTTGGTGGTTGGTGGTGTTGGTGGTTGGTGGTGGTTGGTGGTGTTGGTGGTTGGTGGTGTTGGTGGTTGGTGGTGGTGTTGATAATTGGTGGTGGTTGGTGGTGTTGGTGGTTGGTGGTGTTGGTGGTGTTGGTGGTTGGTGATGGTTGGTAGTGTTGGTGGTGGTGTGGGTGGTGGTTGGTGGTGGTGTTGGTGGTTGGTGGTGTCGGTGGTATTGTTGGTGGTGTTGGTGGTTGGTGGTGTTGGTGGTGGTTGGTGGTGTTGGTGGTGGTTGTGGTGGTTGGTGGTGTTGGTGGTGGTTGGTGGTGTTGGTGGTGGTTGGTGGTGTTGGTGGTGGTTGGTGGTAGTTGGTGGTGGTGTTGGTGGTTGGTGGTGGTGTTGGTGGTTGGTGGTGTTGGTGGTTGGTGGTGTCGGTGGTGTTGTTGGTGGTGTTGGTGGTTGGTGGTGTTGTTGGTGGTTGGTGGTGTTAGTGGTGGTTGTGGTGGTTGGTGGTGTTGGTGGTTGGTGGTGGAGAATAAAAAAAAATTAACCCACGGGGCCACTTAGCGCGTCCCGCCCTTGCCCACCAGGGGGATGTTTATTTCATGTCGACAGCGGAAATAGGAAGAAGAAGAACAACCTCGCAGCAGAAAGTGGATCGGACTGAAGCGGGAGAGAAGGGAGAGGAAGACGCAGCGGGGTGGTGGGGGGCAGGAGATTAACCATCGTGTGGATTGTCACCTCGTCTGCTTCAGGGTAAGGTTATTTCGCCATCACGCCGACACAGCCGTGTGGCCGTGTCATTGTCGTGATAATTGTAGTGATAATTATAGTGATGAAGCAGCCACACGGGTAAACTGGACCGGTGTCATTCTCTCTGTGAACATTGGCTTCGGCGCTGAGTTTGCCTTTACCGCGTTGTTAGTGAAGTTATAGTTGTTGTTTTTGTTGTTGTTATTGTTGTTGTGGCTAATAACGCCGCCCTATCGTCGTCCTTGTGTGTACGCCAACTCGAGCAGCGAAGCCGCGGTTGTTTTTCACAACCACCACGTTGTAGACACGTTTATTTCCCTTCTTTGTGGCTTCAACGAAACCGCACCACGTGTTAATTAAAGGGGTGGTGGGGAGCGGTGGCGCAGTGGTTAGCGCACTGCGCCACTGAGCGGAGTTCCACTGCGAACATCGGCGGCGAGTCGTGGATCTGAACTCTCATCGCCACGCCTGTGTAGGTCGGGGGGAGACAAAGGCGGCCGGGCGTGGTAGCTGAGCTCCCCAGAACCTCGTGTGTCGTAGGTGTCCACTCGCTAACAGCACTTGTCCACAACAGCCTGTCACAGGCTGTACGGGGGGTCTTTGTCTTTGTGAGAACAGTATACGATGTGGGCAGTGCACCATCGTGCCAGACACGTCGTTGCGTGACCATACTTCACCACGCCGGTCAATGGGGGGTTTGCGTGAACGTGGGGGAGCGTAGACGTGGGGTCGGAGCATTGGAGTACACCCTCTTAAGCCTCACCTTACCATATTAATAAAAAAGTGTGCTGTATTTGCCCCCCCCCCTCTCCAACCATTATATAAACGGAGTGGTAGCTCTTGTAATTTCTCATTTACTTGATACAGCTGTCACTTGATACAGCTGTCGTGGCTGTGACGGTTCCACCTGAAGACGGTGAGGCTTGTGTTGCCTCCGAAACGTCGTGATTTTTATTTTATTTTACTTTTATTAATTTTAATGTTTTACCTACGTGACTTTACCGAAAAAACCGAAGAACATTGGAGTACAGTTGTAGTCCAACACCAACATTGCCCTCTGCTGGCCAGCCCACGCTGTAAGACTGCAGGGGTGGGAAACATTTTTTCTGTCAAGGGCCATTTGGATATTTATAAAACATCATTCGCGGGCCATACACAATTATCAACTTAAAAATTAGCCTGTTATATTTGGTCAAACATTTAATGAACTCATCCCTAATGTGATGGCTGGAACTGCTTCTCTCTTTGGTGAGGCGTGTGTGATGTTAGCTGGTATTGATGATGATGTTGCTACTCGCAACTGCTTTTCCAGGTTTGCTCCCAGATGTATTGAATTTCGAGTCCCGCCTGCGGTTATCTTTGCAGGGCCAGAGACCAAATGATTTCACGGGCCCCATACGGCCCGTGGGCCCCAGACCTTCCCCACCCATGATGTAGGCCATGACTCTGTCGTGCTTTTATTTTCCGAAATTTTGACCCGTCTTTCTCATTTTCCCCCATCCCACCGTCATTCGCCACAGGCCACTTCACTTCCCTTCTGTAGCAGAAAATGTTCTCAAGACGCCTTCTTGGTTCTTTCGGTAAAGTCACGTAGAATGGAAATAATAAAATAATAAAAATAAAACATAATACAACAATTCTCACGACGTTTCGGCCACAACGCAAGCAGCCGTCCTCAGGTGAAGAATAGGTCTGTCGATTTTATTATTTCCATTCTACGTGACTTTACCGAAAGAACCAAGAAGATGAATCCCTGCAGTCACGAAAGCTTTAAATCGAAATTCAAGACGCCTTTTCCCGAGGTTTGAATTCTGGTTTGGGCTGGGGTGCCCACGTGTGATTAAATCTGGGTTCTCAAGTACGACTGAGTGAGCCTGATGGGTCTCAGCTCCAGTCACTAAAAAGTACACGCAGACACAAATAATACTCCACCACATCTGCACCTTGACGAATTCCCATGTTCAGAATTCATATCGGGTTTGACAGTCATCCAACGAGCATTATTACTGCCGTGCACAGCGGGAGGGAAAGCGCTGCTCACGACTGTGGATCTCAGAGGTAGCTCTATGGTAGCCGATTTCACGGACTGCTCCTCTCACACGAAGTGCTGGGCTGCTCTGCGAGACATCCGAATGAATTCTTCGTCGGGTGACATTTACGCCTATAGGACCATTTGGATATCATTTGATAAAAACAAAAATCTTCCAAAAAAAATATGATCACGACTTTTTTTTGTGGATTACTGGGCACCGGTGGAAAAAATGAGCTTCATTGCTCATCGGATTTCTTCAGGATAAACAAAGATTCAGATTCTGAGCAGAATCAGCACAAGACGCCTATCTCTGTAGGGCAATGTGGTGCCGCTAGGAGGTGATGGCGAGTTTGTGTCATGCTAAATCTGTGCAGGGATTGAGTGTTAGCTCATGGGATGCATGCATTACTTCCAAGCACGCTGGCAGTCTGCCTTCATTCCTGCAGCAAAATCACACTACAGCATCGTAAATACTGTACTTGTGAAGAGTGGTGGCGCATTGGTTAGCGCACTGCGCTATCAGTCCGACCTCACCGAGTTCGATTCCTCGGGCCGTGGCTGCCATCAGTTGCGATTGATATGTAAACTGGTCCAGCATCACACACTTGACCCAGCGTGGTGAAGTATGGTTAAACAAAAAAACCTCACGATAATAAACCTCTATTGTGGATAATATTTGGTCGCGAATGCCTACGTGTTAAACTGAAAACCCTCGCGATGTACACAGCTTGGAGAGAGGCATTTATTCAGCAGTGGATTGACAAAAGGGCTACATTCTTATACCCATATGGCTGTAATTATGAAAAAGGCGATGTCCAAAATTCCAGAGAAAGATTTTACTCGGTGTGAATCTTGGGACACTTGCGTGGTGGACAACGTATTTAACTTTCGATTTAAATTCTCAAGACGTTTCGATTGCAACACAAGCAATCATCATCAGGTGTGAAAACCATGGCAAGAAAATTTGAAAAAGTTGCGGTTTTATCTTAAAAAGTGGCGGTTTTATCTTAACGCTGCTGTGGTCTTCACACCTGATGATTGCTTGTGTTGCAATCGAAACGTAGTGAGAATTTTATTTGTTGAATTTGTATTATTTTATTATTCCCTTCTACGTGACTTTACCGAAAGAACCAAGACTATAAAGTATTTAACGTTTTTTCACATTAACTTGTCGCCCATCTAACAGTTTGGCCACTACAGTTTTATCCTAAAGGTGCCTTTGCTTTCTTGATGCACATTTGCATGCACGTATGCAGGCATTTACCCAGTTTTGAAGTGGGTAGACTGGGAAAACTGGCTTTGGGTCATTTCCTCACTCACACAGGGAAATGGTATGCACCTCAAAAGGTATGTGCAATACGTGGCAATAGCTTGCGCAACGCAGCAGAGCGAATGTAGCGAGGTGCTGCATTCGCGTTTCCGGACATCGAGCAGCGTGTGTGCTCGTACGCTGGTGTGAAATAATTGGGAGGCATCGGTCATCGTCATCGCGCCGAGCATTTGTCGTGTCGGAATGATGATGGAGCCACTTACCAACGGTACTGTGAGTGTGTGAGGTTTGTGTGTACTTCGTACTGTGATGTGTGTACGTACTGCGCATGTTGGGTGACTTTTTAACGTGAAATTTCTCTTCTCTCTCGTCTGTCACTACTATGCATACAAGCTCACTGTGAACATATAATAGATACTCTTAGTTTTTTCGGTAAAGTCCACGTAGGTAAAAAAATTAAATTAAAATTTATAAAAAAAAATAATAATTTTATTATTTTTAATTACATTTTTTTACCTACGTGACTTTACCGAAAAAACTAAGAGTATGAATCCTTGCAGTCACGAAAGCTTCAAATCTAGAACATATAATAGCGTTAACCTAAAAAAACCTGTATTATGGACCGTTATTTATATTTCTGTTGACACTCGATTACTGAAGTCCATTAAATACATTTTGCTAAAAAGAGTGTTGGGTGAATTTAAGTTGAGTCCATTGTTATGTTTGAGTAGAGCGTAAGCGAGTGGTTGGCGCACTGCGCTCAAACGCAGCTCCATGAGTTCAGTTCCCAACCGTGGCTAAATAATAGTGGCGAGTGGAATCTGAACCAGTTCTGGGCCCTAATCCTTCGCCAACTGCCACCGATTGGCATGGTAAAGTATGATCAAACAACCTCCTTGACCGACACGGTGTAGGAAGGTCTTCATCCATCAGTGGATTGACAAAAGAGATTGAATTTATTATCGCACGAATACATTGTTGCGTAAAAAGTACTTTTATTTGAGAAATGTTAAACTGTTAGCAAATAGTGAACTTGTCCTACACCTGCACTGTAGTCAACCCATTGCTGGATGAGGATCTCCCTACGCCATACGGTTATTCAAGCATACTTCACCATGCCGACACAGGTTGGCGAAAGTGGTCACCATCGCCGTGGGTGACTTTAAAGTATAGGGCCAGAAAATTATCACTGCACTCTGGCCACCATGGCAGTCCCTGACTTACGAATGCCCGACTTATGGACATCCGCACTTAAGAACGAGCTTCCATAATATATTTATGTTTAATCATCCGGCTTGCAAACGTGACCTCCAACTTGCGAACCGAACCACGGAACTATTTGGTTCGGTAAACGTACAAATGTATAGTGTCTTCTTATTTATGAGTAAAAAATTGCTTCCTTTTTGTTTAACCTTAAGACATTTTTGTAATGCTGACCGCATGTGCATTTAAATACAGTACATTATTGTTTACCGACTCATGGAACCATTCGACTTCCGAATGGGTTTCAGTCAGGGGCTGCCCGTAATAACAAACAGCCTGGTGTGAACAGTAACACAGGAATAGCTTTCTCCCTATTGTCCTACAGAAAATCAATAAAGGTACGCACAAAAAACATTTTATCTCGCGGTAACCCCCCTCCCGTTCATTGCCAGGTCTCAAAGCTGCTGCCCGGCGTTTGCCGTTTCCGCACCGATCCGTGCTCGACACCATGGGAGACGAGATGGGGGTTGAGCGCCAGCGCGACCTGGAGGCTGCCATGGACACCGAACTGCGTGCACTCGTGCAGGTGTCTCCGCCGCAGGAGAGAGAGGTGAGGGACGGTGCCGGCCAGCTCGGGACCTACTCCCCAAAGCTCGCACATGCCGTCTGCATCTATAGACAACATCTGCTGTCTTCAGCCATGTGTATACTTTTTTATTCCCCCCCCCCACCTTCCCCAAAGTCTATTCACAATTGTGCTCTCGGCATCACGTCCTGAGACGAGGGATCTGATCAGAATTTCCGTGCTTGAGATTGGTCCACGAAAGCAGATGTCAAAGAGCTACCTCTGAGGTCCCTTCCAAGTTACCTATGGCCCACACAGTAGAGGGAGCAGCACTTGCCCACTTGTGCTCTCGAGCGAGCGATGTGTGTCATGTGTTGCCCCCAATCCATCAAATGGAATTCCCCCCCTCTGGCTCCTTGGCTACGAGCTTCCTATTCTCTTTCTGCTGCCATCTTTTTTTTGATGCTTAATTTTCAACTGCACCTTACCATAAACATATACTGTATGTATATGTATACCTCCTTTTCAGAAATGCCAATAAAGCACACGCCGACTTATTATAGATGACGTCTTGGGATGTGCTCGCATTTAGATGCTATATCGTTCAAAATTGTATGTGTTGTTGTATTGATGTAAGTACAGTAAATACATTTATACCTCATTGCATTCCAAATACGAAAGTACTAAGCAATGCTTAATATTCTCAGATTGTCACTATCGTTTATTTGCTCGTGAAAAGATTAATTGTTTAAACATTTTCAAATAATAATTGTACCACAAAGCTTCAGTCGCGACACCCACTGCTCTTCCATTTTTTGACAGGCAGCACATGTCCTTTTCAGATATTGTTTATAACTAATATCACAAGCTACAACATCAGTACATGTTCAGATTACTCTTTGGTTCTTTCGGTAAAGTCACGTAGAAAGATTTTTTTTTATTATTAGCATACACAAGCAAACATCATCAAGTACAAATGAAAGAGAAAAAAACCTAGTAAACTTAGAAATATAATGCAATACAACACAGTGAGTCGGCTAACATAACAGTCAAACCCTACCTGGTTGATTACGTTCTTCCAAAGATTGCTAAATTTGCGAGAGAGACAAAGCACAGACACACATAGACAGACACATAAGCAGAGAGAGATAACACAGACACACAGAGATAGGCACACAGAGAAACAACGCCTCTGTGTCGAGGCCTTAAATAGAGAGAGGGTCGGGGGGAGAGAATGCCCAGGTAAACTCAATGGCTGAATTAAAGTTACCAGCTTATACAATGTCTACCCTTGTCTCTTTCCATAATTCGCCATGCCCGAACTCGCTCACTGTCTGCAATGCTTAAATAATATTACTCTGCTCTCTGCAGCAAGCACTGTCCTAAGAGATTAAATGATCTCATCCAGTTTTTAACAAGCAATGTCACATGTTTGTGTCTTCATATTTAAACAATGGACTTGATAAAAATTAATTTGTGCATCTTTAGGCCATGCAGCGTGACATGGAGGACTTTAAGATGGTCTTTCAGAAGTTCCTGGAGAACCGCCCCTCCCTCGACTGGGAGAAGATTCAGAAGCTTCCAGAAGGAGCGGTAAGCCACGGTCATATGATGTGATGTGTCTCGTTTACTACTGGACACCTGTGAATAAGTATAACCCGTAAAAACAAAGTTTTTCACTATAAATCCTTTATATGCGTGGCGGCTAGAGTCCTCTCGTCCTCTGGCTTGAGATGGCTGCCACCTATGGGTCAGATGATTGTGTGCCAGTATTAAGCAATTGGTAATTAAATATCTAATTTGTTTTCCCTAAACAGTGTAACATTTTGGAAAAAAATTTTCACGAACATTAATTGTCTCGCACAACAAGTCTGTGTGCAAAATGTCAGTTCGATTGGATCACGGGAAGTGGGTTAAAAAACGACCGAAAGATTTGCACGGTCGTAAGCAAGCAAGCAAGCACGCAAGCACGCAAGCACGCAAGCAAGCAAGCAAGCGAACTTAATATAAAGGATTTAAAAAGAGACGACTGGCCAGCATGGAAGAGGTAAAATTCCCTCGAGAGGGCCTCTCTAGACCTCCCTCTATTGGAGGTCCTTCCAAGCCCAGTCATGGGCATGAGCAAGCAATTGCAGGGCTGCACCTTTGCCTTTCACTCTTGTGACTGCCATAGTAGAGCGGTGGATGCTGTGGACCGTGCCCAACTGCCGAACGAGCATTTGGAAGACAAAACCAGAATGCAACGTAAAGTTTTCTAGGGCTTTTTTTTTTATATCCAGCCATTTGTGACAGGATCTGTGACCGTCAACCCGCTGCTTGCAATTGGGGTGCAGGATTTAAACCGAAGCCCTCGGTCTCGTTGTTTAAAGCAGACCGTACCCCCCCCCCCCCCCCCCGCCACTAATCTTTTAACATAGTAAATTTATATTATCCAGTCCATAATAGGTGTTTTTCGGGTTTGATTGAATATAAATGTGCCGTTAAACCCGCCACCACCCGACACAGCCAATTAGTAAGCTTTGTCACGTCTGCAGAACACGCCAATTCATTGCAAGTATGGAACACTGGTGTGTTGGCATGTTTTGCTTACGTGAAAAATCGTATTTATTAACTCTAAAACCTCTTATGGATAATATTGGTCGTGAAAGCCTACTGCATGTTAAATGTTGCGAATGTCATGGTGTATTTATCAAGAGAGAACAAATCCTGCTTCTCTCGTGTACACAGCTGCTAAATATACTCTCGTAACAATTGCCGTGGCTCTTAAAGGGCAGAAGTAATCACTAAAGCTGTTAATCGAGTTTTAACAAGGATATCTACATGTATGAACACGCAACAGGATAGGCTGGTTCCTACGCCGAGTAAGGGTCCGTTACTGAATGAGTAATGTTTGGGAAATGTGATAATCACTTGTGGCTGCTCTGTTTCTGTCAAATTCGATGTTCAGCAGAAGCCAGCACAATATAATATAATTCGGATGTATACATACGGAGTGTCCAAATTTGATCGCTTCTCAAGCAGACGCAGCCCGGACTTGTCGATTTTTGTGCGATCGCCAAATGTGGACAATGTGAAGGCGTGCGGTTATTTTGTGTCCGCAAGTAATAGGGGCTTTTCGCAGCCCTAAAACAATGTAAGCAGTTGAAATGGAAAATCACACTTCCACGTCTGATGTAGCACAGTTGGCTACATACAGTGCGAAAGAAAGTTCAACTTACAAGGCTTCAAAATTGAACAGCGTACAAAGAAATGCTGACTTGTTAGCGGTGTCTCCGTGCTGGGCAGGCTTTTCATGCAGCGGGCAGGCCTATTGTAGTACTGCACGCTACCTATTGTGTTTAGTTTGTTTTCCTTCCCCCGCACCTCCGATTCACATGGTTGGCTACGTACGTTGCGAAATAAGTTCAACATCCATACAGACTTTCGATTTAAAGCTTTCGTGACTGCAGGGATTCATCTTCTTGGTTCTTTCGGTAAAGTCACGTAGAAGGGAAGTAATACAATAATAAAAATAAAACATAATAAAATAATATAATTAAAATAATTTATTTTATTATGTTTTATTTTTAATATTTTATTACTTCCCTTCTACGTGACTTTACCGAAAGAACCAAGAAGATCCATACAGACTGTATATTCCAGAATTGGCCTGTGATATACAATGTTTTCAGTGGTGTTTGTTTTACCTTTTATATAACTTTTTTATATGTACAGTCATATAAAAACGAATATTAATATCTGTAAATAGGCTACATTGAAAGAGTTAGGTTTTGTTAAGAATATATCGCTCTATGGGGCACCCCTGAATGAACCCGGTATTTTGAGGACACTGCAGTTGAATAAACAGTGACGGTGAGAGGATAGGGAAGGTCCCCCCTTCCTCTAACAGACGTAGAGGCTTAAACATAGATTTTCGCCTCTCATCAAATGCTGTTGGCCACGATGAGGTTTATGGATGGGGTTAGGGTGCAATTGAATGAATACGGGCAATAAATAAAAATATTGTGTAACATTTAAGCCATAACTTATTCTGTTCACAAATCTATTGAATTAATTTGTCATTAAACTTTCAGCCCAGACCTCCCCATGCCTTTCAGTTATGGTGTTTCTTTAACCATATTTCAACAAACTGGTCAGTGTAGGTTGGTGAAGAGGGGGCCCAGGACCTGTGCAGACATCACTCAGCCCTGATGGTAGCATTGGCCCGGAATCAAACTCATGTCAGCAGGGTCACAGTGCATTGTGGTGACCATGGTGTCACTGCTCAACCCACATATATATAATTCTTTAACATATTTAATGTAATAGTGAGTGTTTAATAGTAAGACTCGAAAACAGAATTGCTCACAAAAGGGAATCTGCTGTAGCTAAGGAAGTGTGATGGACACGTCACGTAAATGAAGACATTCTCGCTGGGTGAAGCGTTGAACCATTCTGGATACGTTCAAGGTGGGTGTGGGATGCACTCCCAGAATGTGCACGTTTGCGTCATATCAGCGGTAAAATAATGTCATTGCTTTGCTGACTCAGAGACCTCTGAATGGCGCAACACAATTTGACTGTACTTTAGTATTTTGGACCTTATCTTGTTTTCATGTTTTGCCTGTAATTACATCATGGCTCTGCTGTAAATGTTAGAAATGTGTGCTCAGCTGTGCGGTGTTCTCCCGAGTACAGACAGCTTGCTCAGGCTGGGAAGATCGCGTAGTCCATTGGATTAGTTAGAAAACGTCTTGTCATCTTGGCAGTAATCTTATTAAGGGGGTTAAGCTCTCGTATCCGATTAGGCTATCTTGAGGTTCTGAGCGTGATTAAAGCCAAGTTGATAATTGCTCGGCATTAGTCTGTTCTCGTGTCTGTTTGTAGGACGCTCCATGAAAGTATTCGCCACCTCAGATTTGCAGATGGCACATGAATTATAACTACCAATAGCAATACATGATTAAAACAAAATCCTGAAGTTCCTTATGTGAAAGTCTTCAGAGTTGGATTCGAGATGAGTATTATCAAAACACAAGTCCTTCTCCCACACCTCCGATTAGCGCGGTTGGCTATGTATGGTGCGAAAGAAGTTCAACATGCATGCATACATAGCATCCAAATTAGTTTTTTGGCGAGGCCACAAAAGTTCACTCCACGATGAAGCTCAACGGCGGCTTGAGCGAAACGTTGTCCTGCGTTGATGTCGAATTCGGCCACGAAAATAATTACATCCCCAGTGGGGAGCAGCTTTATCGGTCAGTCGGGAATTGTTTGACCATACCTCACCGTGCCGGTCAATAGGGTTGGCGATGGAGTGGGCGCCCAAGACCAGTTCGCATCACTCGACATGAGCTGTGGCCAGATATCACACTCGGGTCACGAGTGTGTAGGGGGCTAATCGCTCCACCACAGCTTTCATGGAACAGCTCGCGAAAAAAGTGCCACGGGGATCTTTTGCATCGCGCAACTTCTCCACGTTCCCGTCCAAAATCCATCGTAACGAAACGCTGCCGGCAGGTGGAGCCGTACGAGGATCTGCGCGCCCGAGCGCTGCCCTCCGACGTCGCAGCGCTGCTCAACCGGCTGGTGGTCGTGAAGCTCAACGGAGCTTCGGGCTCGCACATGGGCTTCCAGGGCCCACACAGCCTCCTGGGTGTCCGCGACGAGAGCACATTCCTCGACCTGGCCATCGAGCAGATAGAGGTGAATGCCGGAGCAGTGATTATTGTTGTTGTTGTTTGAAACCACGGTTGCCATGCCAATGTAAGACACTACTGAAAAGGAGGCTTAAGTGTGGCTTTGCTAGATACCTTACCTGAATTATTATTTTTCGATTTAAAGCTTTCGTGACTGCAGGGATTCATCTTCTTGGTTCTTTCGGTAAAGTCACGTAGAAGGGAAGTAATAAAATAATAAAAATAAAACATAATAAAATAATTATATGATATTATTTTATTATTTTATTACTTCCCTTCTACGTGACTTTACCAAAAGAACCAAGAAGCTGAGATCAACAAAGACTTGCTATTGATGCGGAGTAGATGGAGTAGGTTAATGTTGGGTAGAGTCACTTGGATGTTGATATTATGTATGTTGAACTTCTTTCGCTCCGTATGTAGCCAACCGCGCTAATCGGAGGTGCGGGGGAAGGACAAGAAACCAAACACTAAAAGCAGCTCTAAAGAAATTAGTTTTCAATTTAGATTTCAAAGTGCATAGCTCCAGTGGCTTCCTAATATCATAAGGAATTGCATACCAGATGGCTGCAGAAGCGCATCTGAAAGCGCGCAATGCAATATTAACATGCAGCAGATGGAAATGGATATTGAGATCGATGTGGAATAGATTGAATTGGTCACTAGAGAATACGGAGCTTCACGCGGAGCCTTTAGATATGGGCTCTTAACAAGTGTTAGAGTTAAACTTGAGTGTATGGAAGTTGGATACTTTAATTCTAGATTTGAAGCTTTCGTGACTGCAAGGATTCATATTCTTAGGTTTTTTCGGTAAAGTCACGTAGGTAAAAAAATTTAAATTAATAAAAGTAAAATAAAACAAAATAAAAAATCACGACGTTTCGAAAGCAACACAAGCCTCCGTCTTCAGGTGGCTGTGACGGTTCCACCTGAAGACGGAGGCTTGTGTTGCTTCCGAAACGTCGTGATTTTTTATTTTGTTTTATTTTACTTTTATTAATTTACATTTTTTACCTACGTGACTTTACCGAAAAACCTAAGAATAAGGATACTTTAACCTGCGATTGAGCAGTTTGCAGTACAATGGATATGCCCTGCGTAATCGCTAACTTCTCTTCTCCTGAGCAGCATTTGAACGAGGCCTACGACTGCGATATTCCGCTCGTGCTCATGAACTCCTTCCTGACCAATGAAGAGATATTGAAAATTCTGCAGAAGTACAGCCACCGGAGGGTCAAGATAAAGACTTTCATGCAGAGCCGGTGAGGTTTTCACAAGGCCAGTGCTGATTACATACTTTAGAATGGTATAGAAAGGAACTTGCCTCTATACCACATATTGTAAACTAGAATTGTCATTTTTAACACGTAGGCTTTCGCAACCAATATTATTCATAATCAACGTTTTTGGGTTAGATCGCGTTATTTATAAATGTGTCATAACCCTCCACCACCCGACACGGCCAATCGGCAAAAAAGTGTCACGTTGACAAAAGACAAATAGTTCACTACTTTAGCCCACCGGTGTGTTGAAGCGTGAAACCACAACATTTACAATTTTTGAGTACGACGTTTCGCTGGTAATTGCATCCAGCATCAACGGGGAATTTGCCAGAATGGTGAGGCTCTGCTCTTGCTCCCGGTCTTAAGTAGAGCAGCAGCAGGGTGACGTCATCATTTAGAATTGTCATATTTACTCATGACTTCCAAGCATCGGTATCATCAGCCATGGTCAGTCCACTGCTGGACATTAAGTGGCATTATGCCTCTATGCAAAGCTATACTGGCTTTGTAAGGGACCACATTTTGCTATTGATGTATGGACAAGATTGTGTGCGGGAGGGCAATACCACCAACAGCGTGGTCGCACACCAGAGCCATTGTCAGTGGAAATTATTGAAAATGTCAACCGATTATGGAATTACACTTGAGTAATTGGGAGTAAGGGGTGGCGTGGTGGCACAAGTGGCTGGCGCGCCTTGCTCCGAATTCGGCGACCTGAGTTTGACTCTCGTCCACGGCTAGCAACCGATGGCGAGTTCTACCTCAACTGGTCCGGAGCCCCCCCCCACCTCTCTCGCCAACTCGCAATGACCAGCAATAGTTGTTGAACGACCCCCATAACCAACGTGGGTTGGAGAGGCCTTCATCCAGCAGTGGATTGACAAGCGGTTTTAAATTATTTTGAGCAATATTTGAATTGTGACGGTATGTAATGAGTCGGCTCCATTGCGTTTCAAAGATATTTCACAACTTGGGGGTGGTGGTAATTCTATCCAAGAATCAATTTTGTTTTTACATTGTGGTGAATGTAGCATCCCTAGTAAGCTTCAGGGGTCACGTGGACTAAGTTTCATACAGCGTATAGGATAGAGAATGTATCGTGACCATGACCATCACTTTCCAATTGAAGGGAGACATCTGTAAATGCCTCATTCGAGAACCGCAGCACCATCAGCTGCGAGTGCGACCACATTTGGCTCGCACTGAAAGCACCCCCACTTTCACACGATTTGCCGCGCGAGGAACACTTTACGCCGTTCAGGAAACGCGCACGGCGCCAGGCGTACGTGCCACTCGTGTCTGCAATTAAGGAACCCCACCTCACCCAACGCCCATTTTCCAAATTGCATGGAATGTGCCCGGTCTTGCCGGATTTTGCAAGATTGAGCCTGGATGAGGTTTGGATGATTGTGGTCAGCAGAGGACAGTGTGGAAAAATCAATTGTTGTACTGTACTCGCATCGACATCTATGCTCCTTGCCTTCACCAACCGGCACTGACCTGCGGGGTCTGGCCAGAAAATTGGTTTGGGGAGGCCTTCATCCACCTCTGGAATAGCAAAAGGCTGTTATTGGTATTATATTAAACTTAACAGAATGTGATTAATGCAGACTTGACGCTTTGCAATAGGTGTCTAGAGGTTTTTGTGTTAGATCGTGTAAATATGTCGTTCAACGCGCCACCACCCGACACAGCCAATTAGTAAGGTTTGTCACGTAAACAAAAGGTGACAATTAGTTACTACTTGAGCACACCGGTGTGTTGGAGAGGAAACCCACAACATTCACAATTCGAGTACGACGTTTCTCTGGCGATTAAAACCAGCTTAATCGGGCGATTAGCCAGAATTGTGAAGAATTATTCGTGTTTCTGTCTGAAATAGAGGAGAGTAAAGGTGATGTCATCACTGTCAGCCTATCAGGTGCCAAGATCAGAGAGACAGTTACTATGGTCATATAGACTACAATGCATCATGTTAATCTAAGAATATGCAGTAGGAGCTATTATTGGTTGGGTTATTCACAGTTCAAAACTTCAAATCTAGATTATTCACAGTTAATAAACTTACAGTGGATCATATTGATCTGATAATATGCAGTACCTACTATTGCTTGGGTTATTCAGAGTTAACATACAATTCTGTTTTATCATCATGGGACCTCCTTTGCCAGTACCAAAATATACTAATAGGGTTTTTCCCCTTTTTTTTTCTGGCAACCAAGGTGTCAGTTTTGTTGCCAGAAAAAAGGGGGAAAACCCTATTAGTAAATTCTGTTTTAGTCAATAAGACCGTTTCTTCTTCTGCCGCCACCGCGCGCTACCCGCGTGCCACACTCAGCTACCCGCGCGTCCACAAGGAGACGCTGCTCCCGGCCGCGTCGGCCGACGGCGACGAAGAGCAGCTGCAGGCACACCACGACGGCTGGTACCTGCCGGGTCACGGCGACTTCTACGAGAGCTTCCACCGCTCGGGCCTGCTGGACGACTTCCTGCAGCAGGGCAAGGAGGTCATGTTCATCTCCAACATGGACAACCTGGGCGCCAGCGTGGACCTGCACATCCTGCACCATCTGCTCGAGCCGCTGGCCGGCCGCCCACGCTGCGAGTTCGTCATGGAGGTGACGGACAAGACGCGGGCCGACATGGAGGTGAGAAGCGAGACGGGGTGGCGGGGGACGGGGCGGAGGGCAGAGGTCGCAAACGGGTTTTGATTCTTTACCCGTACCCGGCCGCACCAGGGTCGCAAACGGGTACCCGGCTACCCTTACCCGGCCGGGTACGGGTAGCCGGGTATCGGGTAGGGTACGGGTATCGGGTACTCGATTGCGACCTCTGGCGGAGCGTGAGATGCTGGTGGGGCGGGGGGTGGGGGGCGGCATCACCTGCCTTAGCCGCACTTACACCAGGGATCGGTGAATGTGCGGTGAAGAATATTTGGAGTTTACATAGCAGCACAGTAGGCCTTACCTGGCAAAATAAAAAATGGTAAATAGTGAAAAAATATTTTGGTTTAAAAAAAAAAATAGTTCAAACAGTCGTTTTGACTGGGGGGCCGCTGTAACAAACAGGCTTGAGAACGACTTTGCCTCCACCTCTTGACAATTAAGAATAGCCTGGAGTGCGACCGCGGTAACGATTCTCAAACCGCGGAAACACGTAGTAACAACCGCTCGTTGTCTGGCAGCATGTCTCTGCAGCTTCAAGCCGTCCACTGGCTCGCTCACCTCGACCTCGACGGATAAACGTTGCTGATCAATATTCTTTGGGTCTTTCGGTAAAGCCCCGTAGATAGGTTCAAATTAATTAAAATAAAATAAAACTACGACGTTTCGATCACAACACGGGCGATCGTCATCAATGCCAACCGTACGAAAGGAGACTCGGGGGCAAATGCTTTGTCATTAAAGTACGTACGCTAGTTTGACCCTGAGGATTCCTTCCAGGCTAAAACTTCAACTCCTTTTTTCCTTGCACGCGTGCGTTTTGCTCAGGGTGGGACGCTCATTCACTACGAGGACAAACTCCGGCTGCTGGAGATCGCTCAGGTGCCCTCGGCCAACATCGACGAATTCCGATCGGTCTCCAAGTTTAAGATCTTCAACACCAACAACTTGTGGATCTCGCTGGAGGCGTGCAAGCGCCTGCAGGAGAGCGGCCGCATCGATATGGAGGTCATCGCCAACCAGAGGGTAACGCGGCGCATCCCAACGGATAACAGCGGAATGCCTCGACTGACGTGTACTTGGTATCCGTGCAATTCTAATAGCGGCAAGGCTAGCACGAAGGCGCTGTGTTTCACAGATCCGCCCCCCCCCCCTGCCCCCCTACTCGACATCTGTGAAAGTGCTGCAGTAGTTTTGCAGCAAGGGGCAACGAGAGATAGGTGTTGCAGGTCTTTTTTCAAATTCGGCGAATTTGGACCATGATGCCAGTACAGGTGGCCAACTCTTTTTTTAATTATTATCATTATATCACGGAATCTGTAACATCCGCTGTGAAGTGCACGGTGTGCAGATCTATGCTTAATGCATCCGCAGTATTATCCAGGCTGGCCGCGGGGCTCTAACTGTGAATCTGTGCAACAAGGGGGGCAAATGTGCTGTCGCCTAGTCCTGTGCAGCGGTGCAGCTGAATACTCGCAGTGCTACGGATCCTTAACTTTAATTCCTGGCCATGCACAGACTTTTTTTTTTCGGGTACAGTCCTCCTTTGGAACGTTTGGTTAATTAAATTCGTGTATGTTTAGCATGTCGGGGAGAAAACTGGAAAAAACAGAGGAGTGTGCACTTACGAGAAATGTTTAACGCTCAACGCTCCACAGAAATAGATTAAAACCGATGCTGTACAGTCACCTCGTGGGTCATCTGGCAGCTCGTGAGACAATTACAACCGGGCACCATTCTTATATCACTCGGCTATTCGGACGGAGCTATGATTCACAACTGGTGGGTCTAGTCATCTACCAGTAGGGAGGTGGGGCACCTCGGATTAGCACGGTTTGCTACGTACGGTGGCGAAAGTAGTTCAACAAACGTACATGCTTACAGAAAGGGTCTCCATTGCGTGCAAACTAAAAATAAGCACAGCAAGGGCGGAATCCACCGTAGGGAGGGATAAATCCCTGCACTGGCACATTCATCGGCACTCAGCGGCACCTCCTTTCCTCCCTGCCCACGGGAAACGGTGCCGGCCCCTGCAGATGCTGAGCAACGGGCTGAGCGTCATCCAGCTGGAGCGCGCCGTGGGCGCGGCGATGAAGTGCTTCGACAACGCGCTGGGCATCAGCGTGCCTCGCTCGCGCTTCCTGCCCGTCAAGAAGACCGCCGACCTGCTGCTCGTGCAGTCCAACCTGTACACGCTGCGCGGGGGCGCCGTGCGGCTCAGCGAGCGCCGCGAGTTCCCCACCGTGCCGCTCGTCAAGCTCGGGGACGAGTTCACAAAGGTCGGCAGCGGGGGGGGGTGGCGGGGCGGGTGGGGGGGGGTGATTTCGATGCCATTCGGGGAAAAAAATCGTACACGTGGATATATTGTGCATTGTGCAGACGTATATAAATAGAATATCCCCTATGAGTAACTGATGTGAAGTTTAATGATGTGTGGTCAGGGAAAACTGGTGTGGACTCTTGAAGCATTTGAGAGGAAGGCGTTACGTGGTCGTATATTTTACGTCGAGGGAGGGAGGGGGAACGTTGGAGGGGGGTGTCACTGCGTGTCTCTGGGATTCGCTCATCAGGTGCAGGACTTCCTCAAGAGGTTCGCCAGCATCCCCGACATCCTGGAGCTCGACCACCTCACCGTATCTGGGAACGTGACCTTCGGCAAGAACGTTGTGCTCAAGGTAACCCCCCTCTTTTTCTCGGCGACTTCATTCTTCCTGGTAACCGTCGGTAGTTACCTGGCGGTGTTTGTTCTGGGTGCTACGGTCGCAAGATGTTAACTACCTCGCCTGGTGTGCAGGAAGCATGGGCTTGATCCCCTCCCTGACACCTGTGTATTTGGAGTTTGCGTATCTCTCTCCCGTTGCTTGCGTGGATTTTTATCCGGGTCCTCCAGTTTTTACCTCCACGTTTAGAATGAACATGCGCTTAGAGTATTTGGCCGCTATAAATTTCCACGTGATAAGCCACTTCGTTGAGCTATCATTTGTGGCCAGGTCGCTTCTGAAAAAAAAGCTACATAGCTCAGTGGGCTTTTCTTGGTAAAATATAAATCGTTTTTAGTTGAGTTTTTTTAGCCTGAAGGCCATGACAGTCGTCATCGGCAACGCATTTAACCGTGAGCAACTGTGACGGCAGTGGCGTAGGGTGATGGGGTTTTGTCTAACCAAAGAAAACGCAGTTTGTTAAAAACTGTATTTGAGGAACAGCGCTTGGTCTACAGGTTACACAGCCTCGGGTAGTCATGAGACGTCTTGACGGATGATGGAGTTGCTCTTTCAATTGCCCGCTAGGGGGAGCGATGATCGTATTTTTCCATACGATTACAACACTTTAACCAGTGACAGTTTTTTTTTATTATCTTCATGTGTCATGGTTTTAATGGCTGTCCGCAGAGAAATTCTAAAATACCTTGAAGGCTATTAACGGCTTCTATTCATGTGAAAGATGCGTAGGTCATGTGTAAAAAATAAAAGTTACCCGTGCTTGTGTTGTTGCATGTAGGTGTTTGCAAACGTAGGAGAGACTAGCGTTTAGCCTTGGTGAACACCGTGGGTGCATTAGCCAACAACGTTGAAGGGGCCGTGACATTTTTTGAAAAAAGTTGCCCATGTGTGCCCGCTTTTTTGTCCAAATTTAACAAGCGTACCTCCAATTTGGCACGGTTGGTTACGCGCGGCGCGAAAGAAGCTTAACGCACATACAACGTACATACGTATAAATGTAAACAGTTCTGGTAGCGTATCTAATTGGTTAAAACTACACGGCAACATCGCCACCCTCTGTGAAACTACTGCACGCTTTATTCTTCCGTGAAACAGAGTGACTTCGTGGTAGCCTATCGCTGTGAGAATGATGCGGATACCAAATGTACAAACGATTTAATATTAGTGCTGAAACAACCAACTTTTAAACGTGTGTGTGTGTATTTATGTGAATTCTGACTGCTTCTGCAGGGTACGGTGATCATCATCGCAAACCACGGAGACAAGATCGCCATCCCGTCTGGTTCCATACTCGAAAACAAAATTATCTCTGGAAATCTGAGCGTTCTCGATCACTAGCGGGCTTCCAAGCCTTCTGCATGCCACCACTGTGCAAAATAAGAAGATAGCCTAAAATAGACAAACCCTTAAATGAGTTTACGTTGCTTTGCAAAATGCTCACCTTGGTTCCATATCTTGATCTACCTGATGTAAATTCAGGGCGATGTTACTGAAAAAAGTGCACTTTGTCAGGAAGCATGTGCCATCTTATACGAATCATTGACATCACTACTCATGTGAATGATTCATAGAACAATGGTGCGTTACCCAAAGCATTCATTTGGGTTGCTGCGATGTGGCGACACTACTGACCATTTAATTGGCGCTTTACCATTTTTTCCCCGGAGTGATAAATGGCGTGCTAATTGTATGCCATCAGCATTTGCCCAGTTAATTTTTATTATATTATTGTTCGTGTAACTGATGGTATGCGTGTATTGAACACAGATTGTAAAGTTTCAATGATTAGAAAACTGTTAAGTGAACTGCAGTTTAAAACACTTGTAAGTAATCTTTATTTGAAAAGGCAAAATTTTTACGTGAAATACAAATTGCTGAAAGCTGATATCGCGGTAATTGTCAAATCATGAAACATGATATCGCTGCAACCCCTATATTTATGTATTTGACCTAAAGGCTGTCTGTGGTTACAATAACGGATTCCTAAAACCTCAAACTACCTGGACAAGAATTGGCGAGGCTTGCTGTATTTCTGTAGATTGTCCAGCTGAAAGCCTGAGCACATTTGCTGACAACGCAGTTCAAGCGTCATGCATTCTGTGATATTTCAATAGGGGATGTTGGCAGAATATCCTCTAGAGAGGCCCTCCAGAGCTCCTTCCATTGGAGGGCCCTTCTGCCAGCAGTGGCATGAGGAAGCAATTGCAGGGCTGCACCTTTACCGTTGATGCAATGGAACATTAATAGCATTAGAACGTCACAAGAGATTATTGCATGCAATTTGGCAACTACAAATAAGAATTACAACTTTAATTATCTTCTTACAGATATTGATGTATCTGCCAGAATATGAATTACTGTACACTAGTTTTAAGTTGTCCTATAATAATTATAATCCATTGACTGAATGCATCCTGAATAACCGGTACCATCAAAGTGCATTGTTTTCAAGATATTGCTCCACTGCTGTTGACACGAGATATTTTTCCTGTACTTTGCGAATGTAGTTGCTAATGTCCAGCAACAAGTTTGAAACAAAATATTACACGAGTTGAGTTTATATTGTGTGCACAACTTTGTATGCATAGATGTATGCAAAAAAAAAATTGCAATTAATGTGAAGTACAATGCCGAGTTTGAAATTGGTTCATTAATCAGCTCGTAGATGTATACTTATACTGTAACTGTTGCCAGTGGAAAGAGTTCAAAGAACAGTTGTTTTATTTAAACATAAAGGGGATTAAATACTTTATTTGGCTGCATTTTCATTAACTATTTATACACCAGCGGTGAAGGCGCAGTCCTGCGATCTCTTGCTTTTCGACACTGCTGGTGGAAAGGACTTCGACCAGAGGGGAAGCTCTCGAGACATGGCTTGAGAGCCCCCCCTCCCCTGTCACGAGCGATAGAGCCACAAATCGAGTGAAAAATATCGATTGGGGTTGGTTCGATGCTGATCGTGCAGTGCCAGTTCTTAGGAGATGGCAGGTGGGCATTGTCCAGATTTGGTGGCATTGATCTCGGTCCCACTGAATATTGAAATATACTGGAGGAATCCGATGAGCTATGAAGCTATTTTTCACAAATGTCCAGTACTCAGAGTAAGAAGCATTATAGGAGGCATTCATGAGTTTGAGAATGGTGATATTATCAGACAGATGTTTACCGAGTAATCGAACTAACTCTTAAGGTTGCCGGGGTTTGCAATGCGCTGAATGTGATGGCTTTAAAATTAGTTCATGCTGAAACTTTATACCTCTTAGTTTTTACAGGAGTTGGCCTTAGTCCACATAATAAGCTAGGATTTCACGAGCACCACATTATAATCAATGGCATAATCCACTAGCTACCCATGTTGCTGCTTTCCATTAAGAGTTCATGTTGAAAATACATTCCTCTATACTAGGTCAAAAATCAGCATCATGGCCACAAAGCCGTTAATGATGCCACCACTGCACCTCCGATTAGCCCGGTTGGCTACGTACGGTGCGAAAGGAGTTCAACGTTCACAGCACCGCGCCAGTGCCTTCTACCCTCAACCAGACCCCGTAGCTGCTGCACCAGCAGACACGTGACGTGTATGTTGAACTTCTTTCGCGCCGTAATCGGAGGTGCCGTGGAAGGACAAACAAAACACAGACCTCCAAGGTTTGCCCGAACAGTATCCCACTATTTGGGGGTCTTGGGTCTTCCACTTGGTTGCCAGACTCGTGGAGACCAACTTAGGTGACTGATGAAAATGCACGTGTTTCATTTGAAAATCGATGTTTTAACTCTTAAGGTGTGGGATTGTTTTACTTTCCTCCATCACGTCCATTTCTTATTGAAGCGAAGGGACAGGTTTGTGGGCCATTTAAATGTAAACATGTTTTACATGTCGCTTTGCGGTTGTTGGCATTGATAGAGAGTTTGATTTTGTAGAATGTTGTTTTGTTGAGCTGGGGTTGTGTGGGTGGCAGTATCTCCAAAGGCATGTTTGGTAGTCTTTATTTTAATTTACATTCCAAGACGATTCTAAACTGTGGATGCATAAAATGCTGTTTTGTTTTCATGTATCGTGAATGAAAACGAGGGCTTGGCTGTACTCGGGAGCTGAATGTTAAATGAAATGGCTTATTTTGAAGCCCACCTCTTTCGTAATAATGGAGAAAAAACTTGTTACGGAGTACGACAATGAAAAATAAAGTAAGCTTCTAAAGTGTATTATTTTGATGCTTTTAATCTGAAATGATATCAAGTGTCGCGCTGCATTAATGTCCGTTCTTCCCCCGCACCTCCGATTAGAACGGTTGGCTACGTACGGTGGGAAAGAAGTGCTACATAGGTGTGAGGTGGAGTTGGGGGGGGGGGGGCTGTCAGAACCAGGAAATATGGGAAAGAAGAGGGAGCAACACAGCCCCAGGATAACGCAGCTCTGGCCTGGCACCAACAACAATGAGCTTCGGGTACGGCCAGGGCAAGCACCAGCCATTCCCAGGACATCCTCGGAGGCCCTGGACCTCTTCATCAACCAGTCCCAAGGCAGTGTTCTTCACTCATTTTCAGAGGGGGGGGGGGGGGTGGGGGAACTTTCGCTGATAAACATCAGCGAAAGCGTTTGAAACCATCTTGTGGTTTGACAGCAGCTGATGATGATGATGGGGGGTGGTTTCACTCTGTGTATTGGGGGCCACACTAAAGGCGACCAGGGGCCACCAGGGGCCGCCAAGTGGCCTTGCAATGAAGCGCGGCTGTCTTCAGGTGTCCACAGCTGGGGCTTTTGAGGCCCCATTCAACGAATACAACCGACACTGACAATTCAATTTCAACTCATGTCTGTGCGATGAGTGTTTTCACTCACTGGTGATGACCAAAGGGCAGGGCAAAGGTGTGATGGTCCAGTCTAGTACAATAATCTTATCTAACCGCTACCAATAATTAACTCGGCTGGTTGAGTGGCAGGACAGCCTCTTGTTGTGCATCTAAAACCCATTTTGATTTGCCACGGCACGCGTTCGAAATTGCTCGCTCTTCGCCGCACACCGAACCAACAAATCCGCGGGCCGTTCATCCAGCAGTGGATTGAACATGGTTGATTATACACTGGTCAACACATTTTTTCTGGCATAAGGTATTCCAACGGTTCTAATGTAACTTTGGGGTGCTGATTCCAAATCTGGCATCAGTTTTTGTCTATCACATCAGGTTTTTGAGATGTCAAATATTGCATTTTCAATAAAAACTGCAGAAGAAAAATATTAAATAAATGTGGATATCTACATAAAATTATATTATGAACACATTATCCTAAAAATATAGCACCATATTTTAACACTAAAGCAGTCACTGACTCGCAACAACTTGCAATCATAAGTGACAGTTAATTTCGGGTAAAATCAATGAAAATGGGGTATGCCGATAGCATAAAAATGAGATGTGATAGAGCAAATCTGAGATCAGATTTGGAATCAGCACCCTGAAATTAGTCTAAAAACAGCTGCAAAAGTCCAGGCCAGAATTTGTTTTTGTTGACCAGCGTTATGTGTTTGTGTGTGCTATCTCACAGTGATACGCCACTCCGGATGTACTTGGTGCCGCCATGGAAATGTGGAATGTCCACAATGGCGTCGTGGTGTCTTGTCGCCCCGCCACCCCCACGCAGGCCTCGACTCACTGGGAGCCGCAGACGCGTGAAGTTCAGGTTCAATGACGAACCACGGTGGGGGAGTGACGGGGGGGGGGGCACCCGATTGAGCCAATTCACTAAGAGGGTGGAGCTGCGTGCTCTGCGTGTCTCTAATTAGTAATTGTTGGCATGTCTGTCTGTTCGTCTATTCGTCTATTTCACGGCGTTAATTGGATCTCTGCGTCTGCCCATGTCATCGCGAGTTACGTTACTGGCCGCTGTGTCTCTGTGGTTAAGTATTCGATGGCATTGTCTGCGCGTGTCTGCGATTATTTCCAATCTACCGCTGCCACACACCTGGGACGATGGCACAGCACGTGGGCAGGACACGTGGCCCAAGCCAGCTTGCCTGCTTGCCCGCCCTGCAATCAATGCTTGTTTTTTTAGTAAATTCCACAGCGATCGACTTATAAAGACCTAAATCACCCGCATTGCACCCGATCTCGTCAGATCATCAAACAACCACAGCCAGGAGTGAGGAGAGGCCCTCATCCAGCAGTGAACTGCTGCAGATCGACAAGACGGCTGTACTTGTGCGTGTCTCGTCGTGCAGTGTGGCTGCTGGAAAGGGGACGTTAAAGCCTCGTCCATATGGCTTATAGAACAGGGTAGGCGGCTGTTCCCAGTGCCATATATATTCTTTCTTCCGATTACCGCCAACTCAATTGTAAAAATATACATCCCATGATTGCTCAGGCCTTCTTGGCCAACATTTCACTCAGCTTACCTGGTCAAAATTTTAGAACCGCACAGTGGCTGTGTTCCAGTGTCATAGATTATATGTATATATATATATATATATTCCCCATTACCGACCACTCGCTTGTAAAAATATACATACCATGGTTTTTATTTTTCGATTTAAAGCTTTCGTGACTGCAGGGATTCATCTTCTTGGTTCTTTCGGTATAGTCACGTAGAAGGGAAATAATAAAATAATAAAAATAAAACATAATAAAATAATTCTCACGACGTGTCGGCCACAACGCAAGCAGCCGTCCTCAGTGACTTTACCGAAAGAACCAAGAAGATGAATCCCATGGTTTCTCAGGCCTTCCACGACAATATTTCATTCGGCTTACCTGGTTAAATCAGTGGCCCAGTGTTCTGCGGTCCAGCTGTGTCCGATGAGAGCGCCTATTTAAACAGACGTCATCGATGGGCGTGCGTTGATGACACCACGGAGACTATTTAAGTTCCCAAGACTGGAGGAGATTTTTTTTATCTTCAGTTCTAGCAACTGCCCGATGATGCTGGTGGTAAGAAGTGTCGCAGACAAAAACGTCCGTAATCCAATCGTTGAGCGCTGTGGATTTCTCTCCAGCAACACCCACGGGTGCGCGTAGTCAACGACATCATCAGTCAACATCAAGTTTTTTTTTTCTTCTTGGTTCTTTCGGTAAAGTCACGTTGAAGGGAAGTCCTCAGGTGAGGTGAGGACGGCTGCTTGCGTTGTGGCCGAAACGTCGTGAGAATTATTTTATTATGTTGTATTATTTTATTATTTTATTACTTCCCTTCTACGTGACTACCGAAAGAACCAAGAAGATGAATCCCTGCAGTCACGAAAGCTTTAAATCGACATCATCAAGCTCTGGGGGTGTGCGGGAATCGGTTAGGTGGGGGGCCCAATATTGTTGACAACAAAAATCTCCTGGTGGTTGTCGAGAGGGGCCCAACTCGAAGTTTTGGCCACCGGGGGGAGGGGGGGGGGTCAAGGCACCCCCTGGCCCCCGGGCTCGTCACGCTCCTGTGACGCCGTTTGATCACGTGACATCTGAATCGATTGGCTGTCGGGTGGAGAATACGGTGTGTGTCTGTGTGTACGCCATTGCAAATGCAATAAAAGTGATATTTACTAATGACAAGTCGCAGTTAGTCTCATTACGCCTGTTCAGTGCATTTGGGTGTTTGGCCAATGTATGTTCTATGTTGAACTTCTTTCGCACCCTACGTAACCAACCGTGCTAATCAGAGATGCGGGGGCGAGGGGGGGGGGCAACAAACTAAACACAAAAGGAAGTTCTAAAGAAATTAGTTTTCAATCAATCACATTTGTGCAGGGTGTCCAAAACTCCAGGCCATGCTTCGTCTTTCCGCGTTTACCAATTTACCCCCACCCCCCAATTTACCCCCCCCCCCCAATTTTACCCCCCCCCCCCAATTTTACCTCCCACCCCACAATTTTACCCCCCCCATCCCCCATTCAAGATACGAATTAACTCGTTCCGCGCCGCACGCGCCCGACGATTGTTCAACATGTCCCCACGTGACACGCCAAACAATTAACGCCGTCGACGTCACACGGAACACGTGTACAGCTGTCACACACGGAGATCTCAATCGGTTCTATTAACGCAGATAGCGCTCATCGCTAAGCACGTCACGTGGGGACACGTTGAACAATAGTCGGGCGCGTGCAGCAGCAAGGAACGAGTTGATTTGAATGGGGGGGAGGGGGGGAGTACATCGGTAAATGTGGAACAACACAATCTTGTTGCTGGACATTAGCAACTCGAATCACAAGGTACAGGCAATATCTCACGTAAACAGTCATGTCCTTTTGTCAGAAACCTTTGAATATTTCAGAGCCCCTTTCAGCATTTTGTGAAATTTATTTTGATAAAACACGGAGAATAAAATATCACGCGACAATTTCTGAGCGGTGACACACACACATACACAGGCAGGTAAGCACGTGGTGCGTCACGTGTTCATCAGGAGCGCGCGAGATCGTCCTGAACGTCAGGCTCTGTTTGGCAGTCGCATCACGGAGCGTTAGGATAATCCAAGCACTTCTATTTACCCCAGAATATCGTCACACGCTTTACAAGTGATGCTATATTTACACGTTTTACACCGGTATTGTTTGCGCGGGGTTATAAGATATTTAATGAGGTCCTTTTCCTGGTTTCTTCGACAATAATTGATGAGAAACTCAAAGGACATGTGTGTGAATACACAGCTGATACACATCGGGGAATTTCATGTCCCGGGAGGACTTTTTCCGGGATAGCTCCATCAGTGATGATCAGAGGTCGCAACCGGGTACCCGTACCCTACCCGATACCCGTTTGTGACCCTGATGCGGCTGGGTACGGGTACGGGAAGGCTGTGAGTCACCGGTGAGTAACTGTTTGTCAATCATTTCGGGTAGGGTACGGGTACCCGTTTGCGACCCTGGTGCGGCCGGGTATGGGTAAGGAATCAAAACCCGTTTGCGACCTCTGGTGATGATCCTGTGAAAACCGGGACTGGTGGCAACCCGAGACGTCTCTGGTGTCCGAACACTCCCGTTTGTGGATTAGCAAGAAAAATGTGTACTGCTCACAAACAGCAGGAAGGCACGACTCCCACAATGCCTGGCATGCGTGTCATGTGTCCGCCACATTACGCATACCCTGTCAACTCCTGACCAGTGCCTACTTTATTACAGACCAATTCCGACCTCATTGGTCACCCCTGAAACATCTCAACGCTCATCCGACAAAGTCCCCATTGCAAGCGGGAAACATAGGCACACACAAATGTTTGCCCGTATTGAAACGGCTGTACGCTGTATGGATCTGCAAACTCTTATTTCCCTGTACAAAAATATGGGGTCAACTGTATGGGTTGAGTTGTGATTACGTGTATAGTACAGGGTGGTCCAGATGTCTTGTGAACACCCCCCCTGCCCCCTCAATAATCTAAATTTTTTTTTTTTTAAAGTTCATTCAAAACAAAAATGAATATGCAAAGGGAAGAAAATAATTAGGGGTAAATTAATTGGGGGCGTCACAAGACATCTGGGCCACCCTTTGCAATGCTCTGGGACCTTGCCTGCTTTCTTCCAGCCCGCATGCATTGTCCCGTTGTGGTGGTGGTGGTTGAGGCTTCTCATCATTAAACAGAGCTGTATTTAAAGCTGTCTCTTTACCAGGCGTTATCGATTGCCGTGGTTGTGTCGTCGTTCACCACAGGAATTCTGATCGGTCGGAGGCCATGCGTTCGCCCATCGTGCCTCCTTCTCATTGGCTCCCTCCCCGTTGCTTCATGCCTGGCGCATGAGGTGGGGGGCCTCTGGAAGTGGGGGGGGGGGCACCCAGGGGTGGGGGGCTATGGGGGGGGGGGGGCGTCGCTCAGCGAAGGGAACTTTCCTCTCGTAAATAATAGTTACTACAATGAACACGGGACGCACCACAACCCGATCCACTCAGCAGGGATGCACTCGAAGGCATAAGCCCGAACCGTTGGACAGCGAGAGAGCAGGATGTGTGTGCGAGTTGGATATTGGCCACGCTCTCACTTGTTATTGCAACGTTGTAATATTGCACTGTGATTATTTTTTTGTTTATATTTTATCGTAGAAAAATAAATTCAACCCGAGGACCTAACGAAACCCAAAATAATAATGATAGGATTATATATTTATACAGTAGTAACTCGACAAAGGGATAAACTACCTGAATCAACGATTAAATCCCTTGGCGTCCGAGCAACATTCAGCAGCGAGCACCGGTCACCGGGACATCCGAATGATGGCACAAAGCGATGCATGGCGGCGTTTTTCGTCCAACCACAGATCCACTTGGCGGCTTTTGTGCTTCTCAGATAACGTTTGGTCAGCGCGCGAGTGCCACTGGCTTCGCCTGGAAAGCTTCACGTAGAAAACGGAGCTCAATAACTGCGGTCGGTTTGTTGTTTTGTTTGTTGTTGGAACTCGCTGACCCGCCCCTACTGGGACATCTGTTTAAAAAGAAGCTTCATAACTCATCGGATCCCTCCTCCGGTGTAAATCAAGTTTCTGATTCTGAATTCAATACGTCCGCCACCAGCGACCGGTTTCATAAAACACCTTCAGTGAAAGCGAATCTTAAATTGCAGTGCTTCAAATGACAAATGCAGGCAAGACAGTACTCGGTGTGTTTCACGCGACTGGACAGAGTCCCGGTAAAGTGAAAAGGCAGCTGGCAGAGTAGGCCACAGGTTTGCAGCCGTCAGTAAGAGCTGGTGCTGTGATGTCCGCTGTCCAGATTCTGGAAAATGCTCGACTTAGGGGCTGGGCCTCCAGTCCCCAGCTTTCGCAGGACCATCTGGCCAATGGGGAGAAATAGATAAGTGGTGTGTGTGTGTATGTAAGATGGACAGACAACACGTCATACATGCTCTCGGCATGTCCCTTACAAAGATAAAGATCCCCCATGTAGCCTTTAACAGATTGTTGGGGCAAGTGCTATTCGCGAGTACTTATGAAGGCCGGCACTGTGGCACACAAGGGAGTGGGTGGCCAGCACCACAGCCAGTTCGCCTTTGTTCCCGAGTAACGATGTTCACACATCGCACCAGGTACTCATTTGAGGCTGAGTCGACCTAGGAGAGGCTCATGACCAGTTCAGATAATCGTCACAGCTGTTGGCCGTGAGCGGGAATCGAACTCAGGTCATTGGGTTCGTAGGACAGCGTGCGAACCACTACACCACCACCCCCCTTCATGCAATTGCCCACACACCTTCTAATAGCAAACGCCCTGACTTTCGTAACAGTATCGGACCAATACGTTGTGCGCAATAGAGGGCAGTGCAGCTAAATCCGTTGTTGTACTGCACATCTAAGACTTCGAATTTCATGTCGTTGGTCAATTCTGCCCATCGGCGTTTCCCGAGTGTTGGACCCAACTGCGCGATAGCGACTGCCAGCGAGGGCACAGCAATAATCTCACAATCCTGTGAGCCGCACCAACTTGTTATACATATTTTATGACCAAAAAGCATGAAAGGCGGCACTGAGAAAGAAAAAAATATTTTTTAAACGCACTGGAAGGAAGAAAAAAACCGTCAACTCGCTGACGGGTTTTTTCCATATCCCTCGACATTCTGCGCATGAATGAACCACTTTGTACTCGTGGCTTGGCCAGACTGCAACAACGCCCCAATTAAAAACTTTCTGCAGACAAAAAAAAGACAAACTAGCAGGCCATCCACATTAGCGCAATGCATTTAGCTTAATGATGCCACTGGACACAAACGCTACAGAAACAATAGAGCCTCTCTCTCTCACTGGTGCTGGTACGCAGTGACCAGTCAACTCTGTTCAAGACAAGGGAGCTGCACGGTTCATGTGGGGTTATTTCTCCCACTACTCTCAGAATTTTGACAGGTCAGCTGAGATTCTCATTCGATAGAGCTGCGTTATCGAGTTAACCTACGAATTATCAGTTCAATCACTCATCTAATTAGATAAGCATGATGCTCCAGCAGAACCACAATTATCTGATCATTCGCAAATTTCTCGAATCCGCGGAATAATAAATTGAAAATAAAAGCAAAAGACCCACGACGTTTCGATCGCAACACAAGCGGTTTTCATTAGGCTGCTTTTATTATTTTATATTTATTATTTTGTAATTTTATTTCATTATCATTTTATTTTCTATCTACGTGACTTTACCGAAAAGAACCAAGAACATGGATTGTTCGTAGTTCGCAATTGCTCCTGAAATCCGTTGGACCATTCATCGTGAAATCCATGAAAATTTTAACCACGATTTTCTGGGTCCCTTTCGTACTCTGTGGCACACCGCATTGTCCGCTGCGGTTATCACAACGCAATTTTCATAACGTAATTATCACAACGTAATTATTGCACAGTCAAGCAATGCGAGGTAAGAACTGAGTGCTCATTCACACCGCCTATATGCGAAAGTGTATAAAGTCCCAGGCTTACGTTACACATCTCTCTCACTTTGGCCTTCTCCTGCTCACTGATCTCGGGGGAAGAGCCTTCATCAATTCCTCCCCGCATTTCTTCTCGACTCTGCAAGAGATTCAACACACACACACACCGATATCAACCAACTTCATTTCACCGCAATCATTTCCAATCAGCTTGTCAACTTTCACCTTACAAGGGAGTCGGTAATGAAACCAGAAACTTACGGCCGCTTTTGTCCACCGGTATGTTCAACACTGTATTGGGTACTCATTGGAAGTCAAAAGGAGGGCTTAAGCTCATTTCAGATAACACTGGAATGTGTGGATAGTCATTTATTTCAGTTAAATTATTTGTTAGCTGGCTCGCTTAGCATACTGGACTTACAATCCAGAGGTTGCCGGCTCAAGCTTGCGTAGTGTGCCAGTTGAAACAATGGGGCAAAAGTTTTTTGAGTCAGATTCTTTATTTAAACTGCAGGAGCAATCCGATGGGCTATGAAGCTCTGGTTCACAGATGTCCCCTATGGGCACGGGGGGTCAGCAAATCTCTCCCCATCCTCCCTTGGCTGTGTCCACCCAACAGTGCACAACGGTGCAACTCAGGGGAGTAATACACGTAGTGCAGGTCACGTGCGGTGTTGGGGCTGGCTTCAGGCACCTTGAGACATTAGTGGAAGGCGCCTTACAAATAAATGTAAAACACATTCTCCTGCGGAGGGAGCTGGTAGGAACGTCGGGTTGCTCAGTCAATGGCCAGGGTCAACGGCGGCGTGGTGTATTCCGCAAATATGCCCGACTGTGAGGGCGGGCACAAGCCGGCGTGAGTAGGTTAAGCGTTGAGTTTTATAAGGGCACCACTGGAGTGACCGAGCCCCTCCCCACCCAGCCCCACCCCTCCCACCCCCACCCAGCCCCACCCTCCCCACCCAGCCCTTCCCCCCTCCCACCCAGCCCCTCCCCACCCTCCCTCCCACCCAGCCCACCCTCCCCATCCAGCTCCTCCCCACCCTCCCCTCTCCACCCAGCCCCACCCCTCCCATTTTTTGATGCACGACGGACGGACACAATAATCCCGTGGGCTGGTGTAACCAGGAGGTTCCTACCAGTATTATTATTACTGTTTATTGTGGATACTCTCACCTCTCCAAAGATATGTGGCCAGCATGGAAGAGAAGACCAAATACCTTCCAGAGGGGCTCTCTAGGACCCCCTCTATTGTTGGAGGCCCTTCTGCCAGCAGTGGTACTGGCAAAGCAATCGATTGCAGGGCTGCACCTGTAGCTCTCGAAATGGTTGTGCGGTGCCATGCGCGAACCACTCCACCCAACCGATTAGCGGTGAGCAAGCGGGGGCAGTTTGGAATGCGCGTGGTGTGTGAGGCGTGTGTGGTGTGTGGTGAATAGTGGTGTAGCGGTTAGCGCACTGGGGTACAAACCAGGCGACCCGAGTTCGATTCCCGCTCCCGGCCAACGTCAGTTAACGATTATCTAAACTGGTTCTGGGGCTCTCCTAGGTCGACTCAGCCTCAAATGAGCACGTGTGTAAAACATTGCCACTCGGGGGGGAAAGGCGGCCGGGCGAGGTGTTCGCAACCCATCCCCCCGTGTGCTGTGCCAGCCTTTCATCGGTGCTCGCTAAGAGAACTTGCCCCAAATAGCTGTTCAGGCTATAGCGGGGATCTTTGTCTTTGGTGTGTGGGGGGGTGGGGCAGCAGTGACTGTCGGTGTCATCTCTTGCTGGAGTGACGCAGAGCAGCCCTGGGGCACGCCCTGCCTCCGCACGACATCTCCCTGATAAAAGGTTACTGGAGATTTCTTTACACTTAAAATGAACGTTAGAAAAAAAGATTCCACCAACGGCAGTCACTTGGGATTCCATTCAGAATTGAGAAATAACGGCAACTACTGAAATTTAAAAAATCGCCACGTTGTTGTTCGCGTGAGATTTTAATAATGTAACGTTTTGTAAAACTGAATCGTTTTTCTGGAACGGTCACTGATGGGGACAGGTGCCCGTGATTCGTTAATTGGATAACAAACTGAACACAAAAAGCAGAGTTTTCAATCGAGATGATTTAAAAGTGGCTTACTAATATCGGAAGGAAGAGCGTTCCAGACGGCCGCAGAAGCGCATCTGAAAGCGCGCGTTTCAGTGACCGTCTTTGTTCGATGAATAACCACCGCCGACGGTCATTTGAACCAATGCACAAAGGCCGAGTGCTTTTTACGGGTTCTCGTGTGTCTTGTTTTAAACTTAAGAGATTTATAATAAAAAAAACATGGCATTCCACGGCTGTGCTGGGAGGGCGCAGAAGAGCGGATGAGCGGGGGTTAAATGATAGAACAAGGGAGCGGAGATTTGGCAAGGCTCAAAGGTCACCCCGAGTAAGGCCCTCTCCTCCCTGCACCGTGCACATTCCTGGCTGCAAGTGTCTTGGTTTTAAGCCTCTTCTGCGCCAGAGACAAAAAAAAGTCAGAGACGTGTTGTCTGCGAGCAAATATTTCACCCTCGCGAGCCAAGCTTCTCTCGCAGCGAACTTATAAACGTTGTGGAGTTGTTTGTGAAGGCCAAGCGATATCAGCAGCATCAAGAGCGATATTTTTGGTCTCTGCAAACAACTTGGCAGTGTTCAGTTGTGTGTTGATTGGCTTACGATATGGGTGGCATTCATACACACAATAAAGCATGGATATACAGCAGTGGATGAACAAAATTCAGGAAATTATTTTAGAATTACTCACTCCATTAAAACTACGTCTCCACATATCAAAATACATATATGTTATTCCATCAATCTACTCCATCAACCTACTCGCTTTCCAGATCAATATTATTGTTCTAGCAAGCCTGACTGCACAACAACACAACACAAATCGAGTCTTAATATATATTACTAAATAAGGTTAACACTGTATTACCAGTTATGTAAATGGGAGCTGGTATGCCACCCAACACACGTGTTGTTCCTACTAAACACTTCCTATACGATGACGGTTCTGCAGATGACGGAACGGCGGTGAACCTGAGCTGCTGTCAGACGAACAGGTTTCCTCCCATGAATTCTACTTTCACATTTAGACCACTGCACGTAACATAACACAAAGACATTGGCAGAAGCAACAAGACACCAGCAGGGAAAAGTGGAACTCTTAACAAAAGGTGGGTGGGGGAGAAACGAGAGAATGCAGCCTATTGATTGCTCTGCTCTGTGTACTTCATGTAGTGTATGTATGTTGAACTTCTTTCGTGCCGTACGTAGCCAACCATGCCTTTTGGAGGTGTGGGGAAGGACCACAAATTAAAGGCAAAAAGCAGTTCAGAAGAAATTAGCTCTATTAGCCTTGTATGTTTTGTGCTCGTTGTACCGTGATGTTGACGCACAGTCTTTCCGTTCAAAACTTGACCTGCATGGTTGTTAGTCAGTGTTATGTTCACGATTTTATTGTTGCTGTAAGCAGGCTCCCACGGCGGCGGCGTAACCAGGTGTACCCCATCGAAAACGAGCACTTATTGCCCAATGGCTCTTCGCCTGCGCCAAGACAAATCCTAAAACACCAAAAAAAACCTAAAAAACACCCCTCCATTTTTCAAAGCTGGCGGAGGGGCCCCGGCTGGAACGCGGGGGACTGACTCACGGTGCCGCCGTACTGAGGAGCGAAGGAGGAGGCTGTGGGCCGACCCAGGCCCGGTATGTGAGAAGCAGATCCCACTCGCCGCCCCCCCACCAGACCACCGCCGCCTCCAGTCAAAGTGGGGAGCTGGTGGGAACGACGGCAGGCAGGGCGGGGGGGGGGGTAATGCGTCAGTGTCATCGCCCCGTTCTCCATGGGAAACAGAAGCAATAAAATATAGAAACAACTCTTACTCCACTCCGCGTGGATGGATGTGTAGGGATGTTGCCGCGGGCGTAATGGAATATTGCAACCGGGATTATTTGGTGATGCTGCTGCTGCTGCTGCCTTGGCAGTGGCGCTCAAGCACAAAAAATAAATCATGAAAAAAACTCCACACGTTCGTCAATAACGCTGTTGCCTAACAGGAAAGATATATAAATAGGTGACGTTTCGGGCAAAACGGCCCTTTTAAATGGCACATACAATCCTGAGGTGGCCGGTTAAGTTCGATTTCCTGGCGCGGCAGTTGAAGCGATGGGCTAAAGTTTCTTAAATCCCTCCCCACCGCCTCCGTCATCCTAGCGGTGTAAACGGGGCCACCGCAGGATGATCGGCAGATTGTGCGCGGTGGGATAAAGTGTGGTTACTCCCAAATCTTCCAAGACGTCAGGTCAGGGTGGAAGAGTAGGCCAAACACTCTCGAGAGGGGTTCACTAAGGCTCCCTCTGATGGAGGCTATTCTGTCAGCAGTGGTGCTAGCAAGTGATTGCAGAGCTGTACCTTTAGCTTACTTGCAGCATGGATACGCATTTAATCATAATAATTGAATGTACAGGACTTCATAAATCTACTGCTACATTAACACCTTCCCACACACAGTGGACCGCCCTGCTCCAGATGTATTGCCCTGCTATAAATGGATCGCCCTGCTATTCAATCATCAGGGTAGATGTGCACGATGTGCTGTGAAAAAGAGCTTCATAGCTCATCGGATTCCTCCAGCGTGAATCAAGATTCTGATCCTAATAAAAAAAAATTCCGATTCCGTATCCGAATAATACATTCAAAGGTGCAAAAAAGCAGCCACGTCAGAGACACGGGGTTCGGCCAAAAATGACCCTGCCACGTTAAACACATTCTAGACACAGCGAACTTGGGTGCACCTTTGTCAAAGTCGGTGACGTTCTCAAGTATTGTTATTATCATCATTATACACTACACGCAGTGCCATGCACGAGTTTGAAAGGTGGCAGAACAGCCTTCGCAAAGCGGGACACCTCCAGAAAGCCCTTCCAAGAGGCTATTGGGCCACACTCTTCCATTTGCTTCAGATGCCTCACCGGGAGACGGAACTGGTGACCTCTGGATTGCGAGTCCAGTGTGCTGACCTTTGATAGAATCAGAATGTGTATTTATACTGGAGGATTCCGATGAGCTATGAAGCTCTTTTTTTCACAGATGTCCAGTTGGGGCATGGGGTCAGAACGTTACAACAACAAACGATACAAAAAAGACGATAGGAGAGCAAAGTATGGGAAAGGTAAACAAATCACAAAAAATACAAATAAAGCTAAAGTATGTTTATGTTACCAGCTGAAGCCCACTCAGCTATTAGCTTCTTTTTCAGAAGCAACCTGGCCACAGATTATAGCTCAGCGAAGTGGCTTAACACGTGGAAATGCATAGCAGCCATGATGATCTATCACACATTACACCGCGGCAGGAACCGTATTCCTACGATACATGATCAATCTTGATTTGAGGCTTTCGTGACTGCAGGAATCCATACTCTTTGGTTCTTTCGGTAAAGTCACGTAGTTAGAAATACAAATAAAATAATTGACATGATCAATCTACCAACACAAAAGAAATATCCCGTGCTCTTCAACGGTTACAATGCAAACTATTCGCACATCAGCCTCACATCTTACACTGCACCGTGCCGGTCATGAACGTTTGTTGACCATACCTCGCCACGCTGGTCAGTGCAGATTGGTAAAGTCAGGGCCCAAAGACCTACCGCTCACCACTGGGAGTTTTCCGTGGCTGGGAATCGAGGGAGCAAAGGGTGTAAAACTATGGCTGCAGGGGAGAAGCATGGTTTCTGCTGTTATTATCTCCCGTTATTAACTCTGGGAAAGTTCAAAGGCAGCCAGCAGTGTGTATTATGTTGCCTCTCACAAGCTGACAAGACGTTGTATTGTTATTATGTGGAGAGATGGACCTTTGCCTCTTCATATCTTTGCTAGTCAATCATCCACAACAGCACATACAGAGTTGCCTTTGTATTAATAACTATAGGGATAAGTTGATATATAAAGTTGTGTTTTTAAAGCTGGGATTTTTCTTTGCGTGTTAGTGTGTTTAAATACACTACTACATGGACGCCATTGTGGTGAGATGTTAACTACCTCGCCTCGTATACAGGAGGTCAAAGGTTTGATCCCAACCCTGACGCCTGCTGTATATTTGGAGTTGCATGTCTCTCCCCGTGGTCGCGTGGATTTTTCTCGGGGTCCTCCGGTTTTTCCCTCCACAATTTTAATCAGCATCACGTGTTCAGAGTATTTGGGTGCTATGAACGTCCACATGCTAAGCCACATCGTTGAGTTATCATTTGTGGCCAGGTCGCTTCTAAAAAAACAATATAGCTCAGTGGGCCTTACCTGGTAAAATATATTTTTTGTTTTTAACTACAGTACATCCCAGCAGTGGATGCTTCATGGCAGACAATGATAATAGCTACCTGGGTCCGAGGTCTTGTGTCCATTTCTGACAGAATCCTCCGGTTCTGGGTGAGATGGCTGTAACCGTCGGACGTTTCTGTGAACATGAAAAAACAACGACATCGCTCTTGATAATAAGTAGAGTCGTGGAACAAACACGCCAAGTACAGGGACTCCTGTGCTTGCGAACAGTCGACTTATAAACTTCCAGAGATACGAACAAACCTGTCCCGTAAGTTCGGACCGAGAATCGTAAGTTCAACCGCACCACACAATGGATGGCGGTGGTGGCATCTACATCTGCAGAACGTGAAGAACCAGTGGCATCTACGTCTACAGAAGATTATACAACTTTTAAAGCCATTCCCCTTGTTTAATGTACAAATCGACTTACGAACAGACCTTTGGAACCTAACTCGTTCGTAAGTAGAGGAGTCACTGTGTACACAGCTGGAACTTGCGAAAAACAGCGCAATAATAATTATGATTTACAGCGCTTAGCCAATCTGTTCCTAGATGACGGGCTCCCCGCCCCATGGCAGTCACGGGAGTTGTTTGACCATACTTCACCATGCTGGTCAGTGCGGGTTGTTGATGGGGGTGATCTCAGGACCAATTCAGACACCTCGTCATTGATGCTTGCCAACTTTCTCCCTAAGAGCGACCTTTTGTGAAATACCAATCATCAAGTTCCTTTTCGCTCGACAGTATTCACGCTGCCATTGCTTTTGCTGTCACACACGTTTAGTGATTTTTGTGACGTGTGATCTTCGATTTATTTTCTCATTCTTTTTCTCGTGGTTTTACAGAGTTGTGAGGTTTGCGGCCAGTTGGGGCGTGAGAATAATGTACACCTTTTTTTTTAAGCATCAAAAAGGAGTCAAGAAATTGGACCCAGGAACTTGAATGGTTGCATTTGGAACGTAATGTAGTTGTCTCTCACAGACAAATTCCAGACTTGCAGAGGCATCTCCGCCCTCGCTAATTTCCACACGGAAAGCGATCGCGGGCTGGTGTGATGCAAAGTGCCCTTCATCAGCAGAAGACGCAGCTAATTACAGCCAAGACTTTACAAAGATAATTGCGGGGTGGGCCATCATAGTCATCATCACGCATTATTATTATTTTGGTCCACTCGTAAAATAAATAAATATATATCCCTCAGCCACTTCCTTTGACGAATATTTCCAGTCACTAATTTCCGTTATCAAGCTCATGGTCCACCCTAAACCGCATCCACTGCACAAACCATGGCAGATGAGGATACCCTGATGATGCACAAATGGAAAACTTAAAAACTCCACAGTAGTAGTGTGCGACTGTGGTCATCCAGAACAGAGACCATACAACGTATAACGACGCAATGCCCCAATCCACAAATACAAAGGAGACATCATCACAGCCACGAAACACTCCGCTGCTCCCGACGCGGTTGTCTGGGCTTGACCACCTGAACGTGAAATCGAAGTCGACATCATCAGCCGTACGAAAGAAAGAAGAGGTTATGAAAACTTGACGCTGCCGCACGATGGCAGTGGCGCCGCGATGCCAAGACTCCGCGGGGTGCCGATGCACACGGAGAGCGACGAGGCTCGGGGCGCGTTTGGCGTGGGTGTGCGCGCAACGCACGCGACGCGCTGCTGGCACAGCTGCGAAGGTGCGGTAATAACAGGGTGCTTGTCGGCGTAAGTATATATCTCGGGGGGCTGGAAGAGGGGGGCAACTGCATGCGAGTGCATCGCCTTGAGTGGTGTCTTGCTGCGTGATGGACAACAAACTCGACAGGTGATTTATGGACGAACGTGTTACGTTTTGATGAAAAAAACTCCTGGGACTTTTTAATGTCCCGAGAAGACTCGCAGATTTTACAGGGCAGCGGCCACCTCAGGTGGGCACCAGCTACCCAAGCATCTTCGCTTAGTACGGTTGGCTACTGTGAGTCGAGCCTTGGTGAAACCAGGCATGACGCTGGTGTGGTGGCACGGCTAAGTATTCACTGATCCCGCTAACAAAGTGTCTAACTCGCTTCCGACAGTCAGGTGTTCTGCGACGTAAGGCACACATTGCGGCCAACCGCACTAATCGGAGGTGCAGGGAAGGACAACGAGGTGCCGGGGAAGGTACGACCTGGAAGTGCATCAGAAAGGTCGTGGAAAAAAAACCACTCCAGCAACACGCTGATGAACACCAATGGCTCTGCAGACACTGTGACGTCAATGACAGCGCATATTGCGGCGAGTGGAGTGCATCAAGATATCAAACACTTCGTGGGCTCCCTTTTCGCCCAGGGCGTTTCGACAAAGTCTGCGCAATGTCTCAGCGTGAAGTCTGCGTGATGTCTCAGCGTCTGGCTGTCAGGAGGAAAGGGGGGGGGGGACGCCCTAAGGCTGGCGCACAGGACTTTGGCGGACACAACAATTGTTACCGCACACAGGTCGGTCCGACAAGAAAAAATCCTACGAGAGATTCAAGTTCGCGACCGACACAAACAAGCCCAAGCGTTCAAACGTGCACTGCTTTCCGAGATCTATTCATTTTTGCGGCCAAACTCAAAAATGCAAGGGATATATTATAACGTCGGCGTACGGTGAATGGGTTTGCAGAAAAATATGATGGCGTTTCATTTCTCTTTGGAGGTAAAGTAGGCGTGATTTATCTTACATACAACCCAGAGGCACCAAAACATACGCGCTACAACAAATCCATTGGGTTGAGAGACTTTTTGGAAAAGGCTGCTTTAAAACATTTCTAGACACCTTGCAGAGGTGGGCTGCTGCTGCTGCTGTCGCCGCTGGTGCATTGGCATTTGATTCGTGGACCCACCTACTGCAAGTACAATCCATTGCGGAAACACACTCACAGACTACTCTACTCATCGTGCATTCGACCAATGGAGGGGGGAACCACCGATCACAAAAATTGGGTTCTAAACCAATCGGCAGGGCTTTAACTAAATATGACGACACAGTGTGTGACAAGAACTTCCTAAAAAGCCAATGACAAGTGACAACCAACTTATCACATGGTGTCCTCTTACCAAATCAGATGCCCTGTGCAAGTGACAAACCAAAATTATCACATGGTGTCCTCGTAGCAAATCAGATGCGCTGTGCAATACAAATGACGTGCGATTGTCATGCGGGCCGTTTAGAAACTCCATGTTTGTCATAGTGCCATTGTTATTAATTTCAATTAGGACCAAGACTGACAATAACTACCCTTGCGTTGTGTTTGTGATTGTTCTACGTTACAACTCCGCTCACTCGCTCCTTTGCTTGTGCTGGAGGGGGGCTGGCACCGGTTCACACGTCAGCCACCATTGACGTTGGCCTTGGCTGTGAATTTAACTCAAGTGTCTGGGTTCATAGCATATTGTGCTAACCACTGTGCTACCACTCCAACCCCTCAGTTGAATCACATGACTCCTCCCTGCCCCCCCCCCCCACAAAACAAGATAAATCACAAATAGAAATTAGAGAAATGCGTTAACCTTGAGAAAAAATCCAATCCGTGTGAAATTTCCATTGTAAGTGATAATAAAATAACATTTTGGGTAACAACACCTGAGCTTGGCCAGTGTTGGAGTGCTTCTCAAACACGAAAGGAAGGGGTAAAGCGTGTCGGTGTCGTAGGTCGCCAGGATGTTCGGGACCCAATATCAGTGTTGAGAAAATGGTGCTCAGCAATCCGGAGCGAGCCCCCTGCCTATCCTGCTACTGGGGCCGGGTCACATATAAGACGTCACACACACACACACGTGATTGGAATGATGACAGTTTATTTTTAAAAAGCGCGTTACAACTCGTCAACTTGTCCTGAAAAGCGTTATCCAATGTCTGTGTCGTTACAGGAAGCCCCAACTCCACCGCCCACCCAAGCCTTACCCTGCCGTCAAAAATGTAGACAAAACATTTGCAATGATTTATATATACTATATATATTTAACAACAACAAAAATCACGTACATGCAAATACACGCTTGGTCACCCAACGATGCAGCCTAATGGACCCAAAACAGGTAAAATGTGTTTAGTGGAGGAGAAAACAAATACTAATACTGCCTCGAGATGTGTGTTTATGGCGAGGGCATAGGGTTTGCTTTTCTGAGCATGCAAAGAGTAACCCAATTACACATTACAAGTTCAAAGTTAAACCACAGCGGCTATTTTATCGCTCGTCGTTCACGCTTATTGTGTATCAAAGCTCCAGCTGTCCGCTCGCCGCTGACGCTGCTTAACTTGCGAGGAGCCAATCGTTTGGTGGTGTATACAAAAGGCGAGTTTGCTTTCTGCAGGGCCCACATTTGAATGTGGCATTTTGCCACCCACAATGCAATATTACAAGCGCCACTCACAATATATAACGTTGCAATAATCTAACAACCAATGCCGCTAACAATTCAAGATTGTAACAATGTAACAATCAGCGCCACTAACAATGCAAGACTGTAGTAGTATTAATAATAATAAACTACAAAAACACTATAACACAAACTGGCAAACCGCTCATAATAAGGGTTTTTTGGGTTAGGTTGCATAAAACAAAACCTTTGTTATGAATATTGGTCGCGAAAGCCTACGTAATAAACTGGCAAACCACGATCATGTGTTACAGTTATAGCTACGTTATATTAGTGCATTTTATCATTGCCTTAAAACTATTACTCCATGAATATCATCATCAGGACCGTACGTCTAAGTTACGAGTACAAAACACAAACGCGCCGAGCTTGTTAATCACGCGCGAAATCGCACCGGGCTCCGTAAACAATTAAGCAAATGTCTTGCGTTACTCTATGGGCTTCTATGAATTCATTAGTAAACCACGTGCATTATTGACCGTGTCCCCACCGAAATAGCAAAACCTGGGCGGGCCGCTCATCTTCACTGACTGTCTTCCAACCCGATGCTGAGAATTCCGTAGCGCTCATCGTTGGCTTAATTTCTCGCCAAATATTTCCCCGGGACGCTGGTAGGTGACGCCGGGTACCGGTAGTCGCCACAGCCGCAGCGAGATATATACTGGATGTGGTGTGCCGGGCGCGGAAATATTTTCTGTCGTTTAACCAGCTGCAATTGTGAAATGAATCCCTGGTCT